GCGCGTGGCGGGCGCAGGGGCGGGCGGCGCCGTCCGCCGCCAGGGGCGCGCTCACCCCCCGCCTCACATCCGCCCCCCCCCCCCGGGGGGCGGAGCTGGCCCTCGCATCCCGGCGTTTGTTTCTGTTGTCGGGCCGGGCGTTTCTGCATCTGTTCGGGCCCCGGGGCCTTCGCATGCCGACGCGACTCGAAGCACGGCTGCATCGGCGACTCGGCGGCGAGAGCGAGGGCCCTTCCCGCGCGCAGCGTGCGAGCAGCTGAACGATCGGCCGTTTGGGAACCGCTCCCCGACCAGTGCGATCTTGAGCTCGTCTGCGGGGTTTCCCAAACAGCTGCGCGCAGTCGAGCGGACGCCCGCGCCGTGGACGAGGCCCTTCGCGCGCGTCTCGCTTTCAATTGGTGGGCGCCAGCGTGTTGACTGCCAATTGGATCGGTGGTTTGTGGAGGTGCAAGCATCCTGGATACGAAGCCAGGCTGAAGCTTCTACGTCGTGTGCATGAGCGTTCGTCAAGAGACCAGTCTTTCCAAACCCCACCTGTCCAATCCGATTGGCGTCGCCAGGTCTCTCGCGAGCTCGACCGGGAGGCTGATGCGATTGGTGGCGTGCATGCTGGTACGCATTCTGGGCATGCCACTGCGGCGGTTCATATGCGGGCCTTGGGCTCGTGTTGACGGCAGCCGCGCGCGCTACAAGTGGAGGCGGTGGCGGATGGATCTTGCATGTTGCAGATGATATCGATTACAACGACCCGTCTGACTAGGCCAGGGTGGTTGACGTGAGTTTTGTTTTGGGTAGCCTTGCTGCTGTCGCCGCGACGCTGGACTGGGGGCTGCACTTTGGTGAGTGTTGCATTTCTGCTCGCGCGTGTCCAGTCGCGACAGGCCGACGCAAATCTTGACCGCGCACGCGACGCCCGATTCTTCCAGATCCCCAGTTCTTGGGATCGATCTTGTGCATGCGTTGAAGACGAGTGTTCCCTCGCTTGCGCGCGCGCAGCTTGGCTTGGAGCTGGCGCGATGAATGGCGGGAGCGGCTGAATGTGCATGCATGTGTTCTGCTCCCGAAGCGCTTGCGATTGCACTGGCATGGGCTCGACCCCCCGAACGCGACGGCAACTTTTCCAAATCCCTCCCGAGCCGACGGGTTCGCGGAGGGTGTCGGAAGAGTTTCGGTCGTTCTGAAGCCAAACCATAGCGAACCTTGGAATTTCTGACTCCAGGGCTGCGGGCGTGATTCTTCGAGTAGGGGATCGACCGCAGAATTGGTTTACCTCATGATTCATGTTTTCGCTGGGTCTACGCACGGACATATACGTCGAATTTTCGTAGACCTGCAAGCATTCGACGCATTTTTAGCAGATCTGGCGAACATGCTAATTTTGGGGTGAATCGATGTTGTAGTCGATCCCCTACCCGAATCCCTTGCAATTTTTTCGCCGCGTCGGATCCCCAGGGAGGGGGGGAGGGCTCCTCCCCCCGCCGCTCCTGCTCCCCGTCGCGGGACGGGGCTCTCCTGATGTATTCTGGCAGCGGTGCGAGCCCTGCACATTTCGGCGTCTCGGCGACATCGAGGTAGAGACTTGTCTTAGTTTTCACGCGAGCCCTGGACACCCCGGCGTCTCGAAACCATCGGGGCGGACGTGTTTTTGGCAACTCCTGGTTTTGCGACCCTTGCCGGGGCTTCGGGACATTCGAATAGCGACCCGGGATGGGAAAGCGGCCCCCGGAGAGTGACCGAGAGGTCGTTGGCCTTTGTCTTGAATTTTGAAGCGCCGAACGTTTGGGGCAGAAAGTGTCACGCGCGCCTTGCGGTCGCGGTCGTGATTCAGATTTTGAATCCTGGTCACGCGCAGAAGAGCCAGCCAGCCAGTTCCTGCTCCTCCTCGCTCCCAGAAGGTGCGAAGAGTGAAGGGTGAGGGGCAAAAGGTGCGGGGCGCTGCAGACAAGGCGGCTCCAGAGGCCACCAAACTTTGGTGACCATGGTGGCCAATGTGACCTTGCACCTGCTAGACAAGCGCAGGCTCCGTGAAGACAGAACCAACGATTGCCAGTGTGTTTTGTCGGCTCCAAGCTGATCGTGTCGTGCCGTTCAGAACTTCGCCCGCGGAGAATCTCGACGGCCCCCCGCGCTCGAGCAGCTTCTGCAGCACAGCCGAACTCCTTAGAGATTTTCTCGGTGCCATGTTGCGTCCTTCGTTGGCGGCGTTGCCCGGGCAATTTTTCTTGCAACTGGTGTTCGTCGGGAGCGGAAAAGAGGGGGGTGATGACTAGGGGGGGGTGGATTTCATGGCGCGGGCCATGATTTTTCCCCAGATTTCATGGCGCCTCTTCTTATTTCATTACGTCCCGGGCCCCCCCGCTGGGCCGCGCACATGCCGCCGGTCATGATTTGCGCCCCCCTCCTCTTTGACGCCCCCCTCTTTGCCGCTCCCGAGTTCGGGCGTCGGGCAATGAGGGGTGCGATGAATGGCGGGGCGACGAGAGGTGCACCGCTTGCGCCGTTCAAAAGGCCCCCCTGGGGCCCAGGAGGGGCACGAGCGGTCAAGTTGTTTCTCCCCGTTCACTGCCCCCTATCAAGCAACGGCCAAGGTGCAGCGCTAGCTAGGCCGGGCGGCCTGCAGGGGGAGTTCCTGCAGTCGGTCAGGGTTTCCGAAAACAGGGGCCCTTGTGATTGCCATCTCGCCCCAGCATTTGTGATTTGGGGGCTTAGTCGAATTAGGCTTGTTACAGAACGCTGCCCACGGCAAGGCCCCCCCTTCTGTATTTTGTTGTCTTTTCCCACCCCCGACGAGCAACCTCGAGGGCCGCGGTTTTTGTGGAGGAGTGCGCGTGCACAGCAGGGGCGTTCTGTGATATCGTCGAGCCAGGCACGCATCCCATGATGCACAGATCGACGTTATTGTTGATGCATCCGGTGCGGCATTTGGTCGACTGCCCTCTTGCTTTGCATTTCCACACAGAAAAAACGGCGGTCCACGGCAGTTGGCACCATCAGGTCAGGCAACGGCGCTTGGCACAACATGTTCAGCGCGCCGCGCCGCGACGCGCAGTTGCCGCACGTGCGAGTTCTGGTCCGAGGGGTCATCGTAGAGAGCATCCTTGCGAAAAAGCCCAAAAATAGGCAATTGTGAGTACTGCGTAGCGGCTGCTTTCCGTAGAGCTTTTTTTTGAGGCCACGAAGCGTGTGGCGGGTGTGCAACGGTGAGCGAGGTTGTGCAATGCGGGCATTGCCTTTTGTGCTTCAGGTTTAGCCCACTATTTCGCCACGAAGCGTTTGAAGGGTATGCCGAGATGGGCGCGGTGGTGCCATGCGGGCGCTGCCACTTGAGCCTTCGGTGGAAACGTGTGAGGGGTGTGCCGACAAGGGCGCGGTGGTGCCATGCGAGCGCAGCCACTGGGGCCTTCCGCGGAGCTCCGTATGGGGCCACGAAGCGTGTGAGGGGTGTGCCGAGTCGGGCACATCCACTGGGGCCTTCGATGGAAGCCCTCGTGGGGCCACGAAGCGTGTTTGGTCAATACACACATGAGGTTGGTTGTGCTATGTGATCGCAGCCACGTGGGCCCTCGGTGAAACTCCTTATGGGGCCTTTCAACGTGTGATGGGTGTGCCGAAGCGGGTGCGGTGGTGCCGTGTGATCGCAGCCATTGGGCCCCCCCCATGTGGGGTGTGCCGAAACGGGCGCGGAGGTTCCATGCGAGCGCAGCCATTGTGGCCCTTGGTGGAGCTCCCTATGGGGCCACGAAGCGTGTGGGGGGTGCGCCGACATGGGCGCGGCAGTGCCATGCCAACGCAGCCACGGGGTCCTTCGGTGGAGCTCCGTATGAGGCCACGAAACGTGTTGTGTGTGTGTGTGCGTGTGTGCTGGAACGGGTGCGGTGGTTCATGCGAGCGCAGCCTTTGTGGCCTTCGGTGGCGCCTTTTTATGAGGAGTGTGCCGAGTCGGGTGGGTGGTACCATGCGAGTGCAGCCATTGGGGCCCTCGGTGGAGCTCCCTATGGGGCCACGAAACGTGTGAGAGGTTTGCCGAAACGGGCGCGGTGGCGCCATCCGAGCGCAAACTTTGGGGCATTCGGTGGAGCTCCGTACGGGGCCACGAAACGTGTCAGGAATGTGCGGAAACGGGTGCCGCGGTGCCATGCGAGCGCAGCCAGTGGGGCTTTCGGTCGAGGTCTCCACGGAGCCACGAAACGCGTGAGATGTGTGCTGAAATGGTTGCCTTGTGTTGTGGTGCCACGCAACGTGCGAGGGGTGTGCTGGAATGGTTGGGTGGTGTGGGGGGCAATGGCAGATATATAAGGCCGAAGGAGCGGGAAGTGGCGGCGGGAGAGAGGGACGCGGGGCGCTGTCTCTTTCAAACGTGGGCCCAACACCACAGGACGGTTTGGACAAATTCTGAGGAGTGAGGGCGAGGATGAGGAAGAGGACGAGGACGAGGAGGAGGAAGAAGAGGAAGAGGAGGAGGGGGGGTTGGAGGAGGAGGAGGAGGAGGAGGAGCGGAGGAGAAGGAATATGAGGATAATAACGAGGCCGATGCGAGGCGGAGGGGTAGGAGGAGGAGAGGAGGAGAGGGAGGAGGAGGAGGAAGAGGAGCAGGAGGAGGAAGAGGAGGAGGAGGAGGAGCAGGAGGAGCAGGAGGAGGTGTAGGAGGGGGCAGAGGAGAAGGTGGAGGAGGAGGAGGAGACGGATTACGAGGAGGATGAGGAGAAGGAGGAGGAGGGAGGAGGAGGAAGAGGAGGAGGAGGAGGAGGAGCAGGAGGAGGAGGAGGAAGAGGATGTCAGCGTATAGGGAAGGGGAGGAGGAGGCTGAAAGCAGGAGAAGGAGACTGGAGGGAGGAGGAGGAGGAGGACGAGGAGGAGGAGGAACAGGAGGAGGAGGAGGAAGAGGAGGAGGAACAGGAGGAGAATGATGGAGGGAGCTATGGAGGAGGGAAGTGGAGATTCCGGAGGGCGCCGCAGGCTGCCGTAGCGGCCGACGTCGCAGCCCCCTTGCGCGCGCCAAGGAGAACCCGCCGATGCCTGCCAGCGAGATGCCGGCGGGATCCAGCAGCACGAGCCTCGCCTGTGTGGTGCGCCCCACCGCGGCGGGGGGTGCTGGCACGATCGAGTCGATGGTCACGGAAGGTGAATGATCTTAGTGTGGTCTTGTCGACCAAGAAGAAGACGACGCCACCCCTCCTACGACCCACCGTATTGGATCTTCGCGACCGTGGCTCATGTTCCTTTGTATGGTACCCCGTGGCTCACGACGGCATGACCGCGACGTATTCGACGGTCGTATTTCCTCACGACTTCGATGTGATGGTTGAGGCAACTTTGTTGTCAACGTGGTTTGGTTGTTGTGATTGTTCGCCCCGTCTCCTCCTCCCTCCTCCCGATCGATCGCGGAGGGGAATGTCGGCACGTTCGGTCGCATGCGATTTTTCTCGCCTAATCCTCGAGTTCCGCCCGAAAAGTTTGGCCGTTCAGGCAACGGGGGAAACCCTGGTATAGACCCCAAAAGAGCCATGCGAGCGCAGACCTATCGAGGGTGGTATTATCCCACCCATCGTAAACCCCAGGGTCGGTGCCGAAGCTCATCTGGTCCACGCAATCGAGCCCACGAGGCCTGGGACACGGGTCGGCATCTCCCTTGTGGATCGAGGCGAAAACAGTCGGCCCAGATTAGTAGGTCGACCCTGCCAAATCGAGGGTACCCTCGTGTCCTGTGTCTCGCGGCCCGTGCCTCCTGCATCCCTGTGGCAATGTGGCCCTCGGAAGGGTCTTGTGTCCTCTCGCGTGTCCTCTCCAATCAAGTCCGACTGTATGCGGGCAATCGTTATATCCACAACCAGTGCGTCCTGGAGCTCTGGGCTCTCTTCCCCAGAAGCCGGAGGCGCACTGGATATCGACAAGAATCTTGCCCCAGGAGCTTAGTTCTTCCTTCGTATCCAGTGTGCCTCGGCCTTGCGGCACCCCTTCCCAACAAGTGCACGACGCTTCGGATATGGATATCAGTATTACTCAGAGCCCCGAATCATCAGGGGTAACTCGGGTCAGGGCTAACTCGGGTTCGTTTTTCGGGAATCCGAACCCGAGTTATCCCGGACCCGAGTTACCCCGGATAACTCGGGCGTCCAGAGCCCCGAGTCATCAGGGGTAACTCGGGTCAGGGCTAACTCGGGTTTCTTTTTCGGGAATCCAAACCCGAGTTACCCCGGACCCGAGTTACCCCGGATAACTCGAGCGCCCAGAGCCCCGAATCATCAGGGGTAACTCGGGTCAGGGCTAACTCGGGTTCCTTTTTCGGGAATCCAAACCCGAGTTACCCCGGACCCGAGTTACCCCGGATAACTTAGGTAGGGCGTGGAGCTTTAAGACTGTGCCCCCCTGTTCGGGGCCTCGCTGCTGAAACCAAACGGCGAAACAGCGATGCGCCGACTAGGCGCCGACTAGGCGCCGACTAACGGCGTTTCCAAACAGCGATCGTAGCGTTTCTAAACAGCTAACATGTCGTCTGCAGCGTTTCCAAACAGCGACGATAGCGTTTCTAAACAGCCTTCACGGCGTTTCTAAACAGCCAAACTCTGCTACTTCCGCGTTTCCAAACAGCGGGTACGGCGTTTCCAAACAGCGATTGTGGAGTCTACAGCGTTTCTAAACAGCGACTATAGCGTTTTAAAACAGATCGTGTGGATTTCCAAATAGCTAGCTCAGATAACGCAGCGTTTCCAAACAGCGGCCATCGCGTTTCTAAACGGCTATCATGGCGTTTCTAAACAGCTACTTCAGCTACTCTCGCATTTCCAAATAGCGATGATAGCGTGTTTAAACAGCCAGTACGTAGTTTGCTGCGTTTCCAAACAGTGACGGTAGCGTTTCTAAACAGGTAGCATGGCGTTTCTAAACAGCGAACTCAACCACCACAGCGTTTCCAAACAGCGGTTTTAGCGTAAATTGCGGCTGCAATTTAAACAGCTAGCGCGGCTGTCCTAAGCAGCGAACTCTGTGTTTCCAAACAGAGGCTCTATCCTGTCTAAACAAGTTTTCTGGAGTTTACTGGCAGCTAGCAGCTAACTCCTGATTTTTTTAGTATGTATCCGAACAGCGGTTCTAGCGGTTCAAAACAGCTCCTGTGGAGTTTCTAAGCAGCTAACTCAGTTATTACACCGTTGCTACAGCAACTACAGCGTTCCCAAACACACCCATATCCGCAGTTATGATGGGGTTTCTTTGCAGCCTAACAGTGACCACAGCGTTTCCACACACAAGTTCCGCAGCTCTGGCTTCGTTTCTACACAGCTGACGCAGTTTCGATCGGAGCCTGAGCTAGCAAGCTACCAGCTACCACAGCGTTTCCAAGCACAGTGTCCTCAGCTATTCCTAAACAGCCAATACAACTCCGAGGGAGCCACTTCGGCACTTCTCCGACCGAGGACGAGGAACGAAGAGGAGGAGAGGAGGAGGGAGAGGGAGGGTAGAGGAGAGTCGAGGAGGAGGAGGAGGAGGAGAAGGAGGAGCCAGGAGGAGGAGGAGGAGGAGGAGGAGGAGGAGGAGTCAGGAGGAGGAGGAGGAGGAGGAGGAGGAGGACCTCCAGGAGGAGGAGGAGGAGGAGAGAAGGAGGAGGACAGGAGAGGAGGAGGAGATGAGGAGGGGGGAGAGGAGCGGGCGGCGCACCGCACGATGGGGCCTATTGGAGGAGGAGAGGTGGAGAAGGACGGCAGGAGGAGAGCGGCACTGGGGATCCCAACCTTCCCTGTGTCGTCACAGCTCACCCGGCCGCCAGCCCGCCGGCCCGCCAGCCCGCCAGCCCGCCGGCCGGGCCGGTCCGCAGAGGCGCCGAGGGATGGTGAGCCACCAGCAGGGGAGGACGTTTGACCTGACCTCCCCTCGCCTCCTCCTCATCTTCTCCAGATCTGGAGGATTAAGAGGCGAAAGAGGAGGTCAGGTTCGGCCCAACGCCACCCCGCCAGCGGCTGACGATCCAAGGGCCAGGGAGGATGGGGGCAGGGCGTGTTGAGACAACGGAGGCAGCTCAAAACTCAAACTCTCGAAATTGGTCCTTGGGCCGCCCCCAGTGGCCAGATGCACAGATGTCCCGAAGCTGAGTCCTGCCCTGGCGACGATGACCCCCACCCACAAAAACTGAATGCCAACTGCCGATGTCTCAACTCCCCCCCCCGCCGCGCCAAAGAGGAGCGCAATGCGAAAGGCGACAGAGGACAAACAGGACTGAGAGGACAGAAACGGGAGTCCAGGGAGGGAACGGGCACCCAAGGAAGGGGAGGATGGGCCGAAGGGAGGCGCTCTCCTTCAATTTTTCCATTCTAAGAACGAGCGATCTTCTGTGTGGATCCTGCGGCCTGCTGCTGCCCTTCTTCTCCTCCTCCTCCTCCTGGACTCCTGCTCCTCCTCCTCCTCCTCCTCCTCCCTCCTCCTCCTGCTCCACTTCCTCCTCCTCCTCCTCCTTAGCCTCGTCCTCCTCCTCCGCCTCCTCCTCCTTCTCCTCCTCCTTATTCCGATTCCTCTTATACATCTTTCCTTTACAGCTTCACGGGGCGCCTCGCCACGTGTACCTCCGTACAAGAGGCAGGTGCGGGAATGGGGTCAGGAACGAACCCACCCAGTTGGATGGCGCCCCAACGCAGGCCAGGGGCAGGCAAGGCGTGTGGGCTCTGCATGCTCGGACCCCCTCCTCCCTCCCTCTTCGCTCGTCCTCCCATCCCCTGTCCCTCATCCCACATCCCTCATCCCTCATCCATCGCCCCTCCCACCTCCACCCTCCACATTTCCATCACCTCCTCCACTCTCATCCAGTCTCGCTACTCTTCCATATGTATTCCATCTTCGATGTTCCCATTCGTTCTTCATCTTACATTATCCTCCCACTCCTTGCCCTTCCATTCCCTTCTCCACCCTCCCCCTCCTCATCCGTCCCATCCCCCATCTCTTATCTTATCCCTTATGGCCCGTCTGCAGAGTGAAATGGCCCATGAGTTGCCACGAAACCGGGCCCGCCAGACCTGCCCCGAAATTCTGAAACTGAAACACCTAAATCATAAATCTAAATCTCAAGAGCTCGCAGGCGGGCCCTCCAAAATCACAGAGTCCGCGTCGCCGACGTCGACAGCCTCGCCGCTGTCGTCAGCCTCGCGGCTCTCGCCAATGCTCACATTGGTCGTCTTACCGCCCCTGCCACTCATGACACTGCCGCCCTCGCCACTGATGACACTGTTGCCGTCCTCGCAGCTGATGACGCTGTTGCCATCCGTCTTGGACTTCTTCTTGGCTGGCTCGCCCTCGTCGCCCTGCATCGCCATCAACTTAGCCATCAGCCTGGCCGGGATCTGGACCTTCAATGTTTTCGCGTCCATCTTGAGCTTGTCCACTCCGTCCGTCTGGCCATCCCGGATGCACATAGCAGCCCCGCGGCAGACCAGCATGAGCCGACCTTGGCTCCGAGTGGCCTGCCATCGATCCTTGAACTTCGCAAACGTGTCCTCCTCCTCCATGGACTGCGTGCGCTGGATGCCCATACCAGACAGGCAGGTCGACAGGAAGTCGAATGCCTGAACCCCCTTACTGGAATCATCGGAATGGTTCAGGCCCTTGATATCTTGGACGAGTTCCTGTCTGCCTGGCCAGTCCTCGAGCATCGTGATCTTGTCGTCAAGATTTGCCAGGATATCTTTCAGGTCCAGTTCAGGGCCATGTTGCTTGATATTCAGAATGATACTCGTAAGGTGCTGGACACATGCGTCCATCTGGGATTCAATGGCATCGGTCATGAACTTGCGGAACTCATTGAACTTCGTGGCCAGATCTGACTTGGCAGTGGAACCGTTGAGCACCTTCACCATGTAAGCTGCAGAAGTCAACCACGTATCCAGGCGAGCGGCAGAGCCCTTCGCATCGCCCTTGAGCCAGGCCTCGTACTTGGTCTGGCAGGCGTAGATTGCGAAGACGGCAGGCACTGCTGAGGCGCTCTGCTCCAACGCCTCAGCCTGGTGGCGGTGGTGGGGCGGGGAAGGGTGTTGACGATGACAGTCAGGGCGCTCCCTCTGCCCAGCTCCTAGCCTAGCGCCCAGACA